GCCTATTAAAATCAAACACAGTCTTCATGTGTGTAATGATATTGAGCATTTGGAGCATTTGGATTTTCTTAAGCATTTGGCAAAACCTCATAATATTATGGATGATACTCATCATATGTTGTTATTTAAATGATATAATATTAATGCCGAATATTATTGCTAGTAAAAGAATCTGCCTAAGTATCTGTGTGTATTATTTTTATTTTAGCATTTATATTATAATTTATTTTATTTTACTGTATAAATTCACCTAAAAGTTGGCAGACTGGTCTCTAGCATCTATTTCAGGCATTCACTTTTAAATAGTAGGAATACTCAGAAGCTCTGAAACAGAATCTCCTCAGCAAGGTGTTGAAAATATATAGGATGGAAAAGAAGACAACTACCTTGTAATGTCTATAACCTTTATTATTTTTTATTTATTGTTATTCATGCTGTTGCAAATATACACATACTTCAGATGTCAACTCTTCAGTAAAACTGGAGAGGTTTAATATGCTGTGCCTTAAATGCCCTTGCTCCCTTCAGCTACTGATATCTCCAACCTTTGTTTACAGGTATGCCACAGATGCTACCTTTGATAGCAACCAGTGATCTCATGGCCACTTGTGTTTGTTTCCACTTGACCTCTGAACCCTGAGCAGGCGTTTGATGACTGGGTTTTTTCCTATTTCTTTTTTTCTTTTTTTCCCCCCTTGGCTTAATATAAAAGGGGAAAATGATGACTGTCAATACCTCTAGAAGTGTCACCAACTTGAGTATGGAGGACCACTGGAGGCAACTAAGTTTCAAAATTAGGATGTCTTTTGGCAGGTCCTGGTGTTTAATGCTGAATGAGTTTCATCTCAATCATCTGCACCTGCACCACAAGGTGCCATGGACTACCTGATCTTCAAAAAAGAGTTTAAGGATACATGAGCAACACTGAATTCTGGATGTAAGGCCGCTTAAAAAGTGCTTCTCAAATCATCAACTTCATTGAAAAAACAGTTCTCAGTCTTTCTGCACTTATCTCAGCATCTGAGATAGATCAGTGTGTAAATACTTTGAGACGCATACTACTAAAAAAAAATAATAAAGACAAGGCAAGGTCTTCTTTGAAAAGAAAAGTAGTGGAGCACAAGAGAAGTATTCTTAGATATGGTGACTCTATGATCTGCCAAGATTAACTGTACCAAACTCTTCTAGAGCTCCTCCCTGTTTACCAACTTTATCTGTCCTCTCTGCAGTGAGTAGAATACAGCCAGTGGTAAGTCAAAACTGCATTGGCTTTATTATAGCAGAGTTTAAAGTTCTTTGAACATAGCTGGGATCAGTGTTAATGCTGGCCAACTTGGGTGTGCGCAGTATTCTGTAGAACAAGACTTGTGTCTTGAGTCTGAAAGAGTCCAACATAATTTTGATACTTCAGATACAGCCAGTATTAGTCTCTGTTAAGAGCTCACATGACACCTGGTTGCCCTAAGAAACAGCGCTGTGTATACTTCCCTCTGCTGTTTTACATGAGTTATTAAATTATTAACATTTTAGTTTCTTCAATTTGCTTAACAATCTGGTTCACTTGGGCCCTTTTTCATTCAGCTAATCACTGTGGGAGATCTGCTGCACTCTAATGAGTATTACTGGCAGGATTACATGGGGGGAAATGTGAGTGAAATATTTCCTACCAATCCTGCAAATAATTTCTTAGGAAATAAACTCACTCACACTGTGCTTCAGAATCATCAAGTCATTTATCTCTCAAGTCTTTAAATAATTCAGAGGAAACCTGACATTTGGATAGCAACTGAACACATTTTTTATGTTATCAGGAAGAAATTAAATTAGAGAAACATGCTGTGATTGAAAGAGAAATAGAGGTTGTGGCAATGTTCACGATATACAACTATATTTTGCTAACTGAGCACAGCTTGTAAATGGGGTAGTGCTTCTCTGTGACACTTGAGGAGTGGGAGAGGACTGCAAAGTGGGAAGTTGTTCTTCCCTATCTTGTTTTGCTTCTAGTAACAATCTCTTATTGTTCTACATCAGCAGGGAATTATCCTTGCTGCTAATTTGGTTGGTTTATCTGTCACTAGTCTTGCCAAAAGTGCAGATTTGACAGTGAGAGTTTGAGGTCTGGAATCCAAGATAGATTGTGTTTCAGAACACATATGCATGCATGCATGTGATTGCTGGGTCCTGGGGAATATGTGGGCAGGGCAATGCAGTGGATCACAGTGGGTGTCCCCCTGAAGCCCTGGGTCCCCAGAGATCCAATAAATGTAGCTGCAGCACAGAATAAATACAAGAGGAAAAAGACAATCTGCTCCAGGGCTGGAGAAGGCAGTCTTGACACCTGGACATGAGCCCAGATGTTTTGGGAGTTTGAAATGTTCCTTCCTGCTCTCTCAAGAGTACAGTCTCAGCCAGCTGGCTCCTACATAAACAAACACAGACAGACAGTGACACTTTCAAGCTATTAATTAGTCCAACTTTCAGTGTAGTTAATTTCAGAAATTAGTGTCTTTCTGTCTAACAGAGCTTAATCATGAATGCTTTGATGAATTAAGGTCTTTTTTTAGTTTCTTCTTTAGCTATTTCATGGAAGAGGCATTTATGAATAGAATCTGACGTTGGCCTCTTTCATACACAAATAAATAACTTCTGCATTGTTTATATACCACAGCTACGAGAAAATATATCTTTTTATTTACCTACTCATTACAGTTCAGGTAAAAATAGCTCTGAACATTATAAAATTAAAAACAGATATACAAGGGCTGAACTTGGTTTCCACATGTTTATATGTGCATATTTCTCTTTGTCCAGTGCTGCAGCATAATGCCTTACTGACAGTTTTCATTAATCAGTTCCTATTCTAGATGTAAATTAACTAGTCTCACAAACAAGAGTCCTCTTTATCACTGCAGTCTTCACATCTTGATTTTTAGACAATTTTTCACAGGGTTATTCATTAATTAGGTCTTTAATTATGGATTAATTAGCAACTGAATTACAATATTCCTTATACTTTCTCAACTCTTGTAACACTAATATGTTTGCCATCAAGCATGATAGATGTTACATATGCAAGGGGATTTATTACAGATGTATTCCCCTAGCACTTCAGTGAGCTGACTAATTATTCTTCCACTGACAATGAAGCTAATGAAACACTGGACTGATGTCTCTGACAAAAATCCACTCTTTTTTTTTTACTGGGTATTGCTGAGGAGAGGTCTAATTCTTTTAACACTGAGAGAAGGATTATATATTTGAAATGGGCATGTATTTTGAGGTTGTTTCTTATCAAAAGAAAAACAGCTCAAAAGTGCATTACATTAAAGAAGCTGAATCTATGAATGTAGCTGTAACAGGTGTAAACAATTGTCTTAGGTAGCATACAACAGAGTCCTGAGAAACCAAAAGCATCTAATCAGTTTTAAGACCTGATTAGAGAGATCCCTCTTAACTTCTCATACCTAGACCCATGGTAAATAAATTTGCATTCTTTGTCACTGAGCAAAACACTGACACTTTCATATACAAACAGATGATCTTAATTAAGCATAACACTACACTCTCAGATTTCTAAAACTTGTTTCATGTCCATTATGTTTTTTAACACAATAATCCACTGATTTCTTATTTGTCTTAATGTTACTGAACAATTCCTGAGAATTGAGGCTACTATTACTTACCTTTCATGTGCCCTTAGAGGGTACAGCCTCTGAAGTTATCTCTGTGAATGACCACATCATAAATGTTATTTTAAACTCTCTGTCCTGACACTAATTAAAAACCCTCAATATTTATCATTTTCTTTTTCTCCCTGGGGGGTATTTTACATGTATTGATCTAAGATTTAAATGCCTCTACTGTAGAGGGAAAACAAAAACCTATGTCTGACCTATAGCAGTCCTATTCTATTTCCAGTGTTAGATACAAGATCATTAGTCTGTGATGAGTAAAACAGTCATAGCCAATTGCAAAGATGTTAATTTCTGTGATTTAAGATGGTAGATCACATGGGTAGCAAGAGATGATGGTGTTTTCAACTACTCCAGCAGTCAAGTTATTTTAGCACTAATGGCCCAAGGCCCACCATACAGGCATGAGGTGGCATCTGTATTTTATCAGTTCTGTCACCACAGCTGTGTCTTTAGTGTTTCCCACAAAACTTTCCCACATCTGTGGATAGGAGACACGGGTGACATTGACAGCTGGACATCTTTCTTTGGGATAATTCTCCACTTTTGCCCTCTGTCTGAGGAGAGCAAAGTGAATGAAATTCTTTGGTATGATTTACCTCTTTGGTTAATAAGCATTATCATCCATTCCCTGATCCTTGAAACTGTGCTCAATTAACTGCTGTTGAGAGGAAGAGAGATGGTCAGTACCTTTTAACCCACAAAAAGTAATATGTCAATAATAGCATATAAATGCTTGTGGTAGCAAGAACAACAATAATGACAACATTTGACTTTAAATGGTAGGCTGTGTTCTCAAAAGATGTAGCAGGCTGTATTTCCATGCCAGTTAGATTAACTGTAAATAGCCTTCAGAAACTAAAGTTCTATAACTCTTTTTAAATTCCACTCTAAATTTTGACAGACAGCAAAGATAAATGACTGACCTCTCAAACCATTTTTTTATTGAAAATCATTCTCACACCAGCATATGTCCTTGAGATGAAATAGCAATGGTTTATTATAACTGAGTCACAGAGTGGAACTTGAAAGGCTTCCTAAATTATAAGGTTTGGATTTGTCACAAGTGTAAATCTATTTACAGGAGCTATGCATGAGGTGAATCTCACTCTCTTTAAAGATATCCACCAAACATACTGCCTTGGACTAAATGCTCTCTGTTTCAACTATTTTTCCCATATGCATTAGTTGTTAAAGATTTGCAGCACAACAGGAGCAACCTGATAGCTACTTCCCACTTTTCCTGCCATTTCCACCTTGACCCCACGTATCTGAAGAAACACAATAATCAGCAAAACTGTCACTTACCTACTACTAAAGAACACAAGTGTCCAGAGCTCCTGAGTGTGCTCTGCAGTTATTCAATGTGGGACAGTGGGGTTGTTTATAGCATTGCACAGATCATGGCCAGCCAGATCTGTTTGAACCCTGCAGCGTGACTAGCCTTCCAGATATACTAATATGCTATATTTGTAAAGTGATAACATGATCTGTGGTCTTACAGCAGAGGCACGGGTAGGATAAAGTGTCTGCACTGCATGAGTCAACACAGGATGGAAACAACAGTGCTAGGACAGCATCTCAATTGCTTCAAGGAAAGTGTGACAGAGCTAATATTACTCATGCTTATGTGCATTTGTTGGAAAAGGGCAAGGAGAATATATGAAAAATACATATACAGTCTGAATTCCTCTATTACAGGCTACCTTTTCCTTTCCATGTCCATTCGATTCTGAACTAAATATATACACATGTGTACACAGACTATCGCCATGCAGTTTGCATGAGTGCAAATTTACAGTAAATTCTGCTTTTTTCTTGCTAGTGGTGGCTCACCTTTTTGGGACAGTGGAAGGAAGGGAGGGAGGGAGGGAGAGAGAAAGGGAGGGAGGGAGGAAGAGAGAGAGGGAGGGAGGGAGGGAGGGAGGAAGGGAGGTTCATTTCAAAAAATAATGGTTTTCATTCAAACTATTTTCAAAATCTGCTTTTAATTTATTTTCCTTTAAAATTAAACTTTTCAATTATAATAGTTTCATATTTTAATTTTTTTTTTTAAAAATGAAACTTTTTCAACAATTTCTGCTTATTTTTCATCCCTGCCAGTAACACTAACTATAAAATACTGCAGCTGGGCTTGGCTTAAGGGCTTAAGCTTCAGGTACTAGTTTTACATTGCTGTGCTTTCAGTGAGCTTGCTGAAATCACATCATATTGGAATAGGAAAGTCATAATCTATGAATTTAAATGTTTGGTTCTGTCTTCAAGTCTAAATGATGTAGTATCAGGATTCACTTTGATCCTTTTCAATGCAATGTGTTTCAAGGTATTGTGACATGCCTGAAGGATCCTGCATCACATATCCTTACTCTTCAGTCATCTTAGTCTTCACAAACATCAGTAATAAATAGTGATCGTCATGTCTGATTTTTCTAATACATTTTTATTTTCTGATAAAACTACCCACAAATTTGAATGGATTTTTTTTTTGCCATGTAGCTATATGGATTTCCTGAGGTAGTGAGCATTACCAAACTTCAGCCAGAAGAGCTGATGAAGAAATCAGTGAGGGAGGCAATACTTTGGAGCAGGGAAAGTGCATCCTTTCTCTATTCAAAAGCATGGTGCATAATTCTCCTTTTGTGCATACTGCCTAGGAAAACGTGTTGCTGCATTTTTGTTCAGAATGTGACAACATGAAATAATAATTAATTAGCAATTATATTAAGAAAATACTGACCTCCATCTCACTTTTTCAGGATCCATTCCTTGCTGTACAGGTGTTCATTTTGGCAAAAGAAGGTATGATGTCTTGTGTTCTTTAAGTGTTTAAATACTGAAATATGCTTCAGTAACAGAAAGCTGTGCTTGCAGTAAAGTCCCTGGCCTTAGCCAATGATTCATAGAGCAGCTAACCTTCCAACTACAATCATATCTTACCCATGACAAGCAGAGGCTTAGGATATTTGCTGGAAACGGAATGAGAAAAAATATCAGCTGATGAAGTAGGCATCACCAAAAAAAAAAAAGAAAATGCAAATTAAAAATGCAATTAAATGCAATTAAAGAAAATGCGCTAAGAATGGAAAAACAACAAAACAACTAAACAACCGAGGAATGGCATGAAATATTTAGAAAAGTATTACAAAGTGAATGGGAAAACAGAGAGGTGGGGGGGAGAGGGACAAAATCTACAACACTGTTTAGTTGTGGATCTCAGTGTACTTGAGAAAAAAAATACAAAGGAAAAGGAAAACTGTAAGTCAGTACATAAATGCTGGCATAGTAAGAAAATACCACAAGGAAAGGAGTAGTAGACAGCACACTGCTCAGGCCAGTGTACAGACAGAAGGCTTGTTTGCTAAAAAAAAAAACCATTGGCAGGCTTGAATCTATTTTAAGGCATGCTAGAGTGACAGAACCTAGCTCGTTCAAAGGTGTTTGCCTACTGCATCCCGCATCCCAGTTCATCATCAGCAGTATTCATTTGTCAGAGCCAAACTGACCTTGGCTCAAACACAGCCTTGCATGCCTGCCACAGCATTCCCACAGGAATTGCTCCTCATCCAGGTGATCCAGTAGACTGACCAGCATCTATGTAATAATATGACACTGCAGTCTACTGAATCATCCTCCTGGATGAGGACTGTTGCCTGGAAGTGGTACAAAAGCAGTCATTTCATGAAGAGGCCTGGTCCATTTTGGCTGCTGGAGTTCATCAGTCTCAGAAACTGGAGCTGTTGTGAGATACAGAAGGAGCCAGTGCTGGACTCCCTGACAGGCAGGTCTTGGAAACAGCTGGCAAATCTGCCCAAGCTATTGTAGTTTGAAGCCAGCTGCTCCAGAGGCAGCAGCTGTATTGCTTCCAGTGATAAATTCGCTCTGAAGTCAAAACAGCCCTGGCTATGATCAGTGTACTATCCTAGGATAGCAGATCCTCTACCCATGAAACAGACAAATCCATCACAAAGATAATCCAAATGATGTAAATGAGAATTGACTCTAAACAAACACACCAAGAGATATTATGCTTCTCCGCTTGTGCATTAGCTGTAGCAAAACTTCCCTACTAAATTCAATCTCTTCTTTATAGAAAACCCACAAAGTAAAGGCAACAAAGATACTGGCAACATAATCTGCTGCATAAATAATTTCTGTATAAGTATATCTATGCTTGTTTTTCTGGCCTATATTCCTTGTTCATTCTAAGGATAACAATATGCATTTAAATTAAGGTCAGTAGAAAACTCTAAATTAAGATCAGTGTCTGCAACCAAGATCTAGCATGAGGTACAAGTGGGAACAGCATTTTGTTTAGACAAGGCACCTTCATATCAGCACTTCAGACCTAAAAGACTGACAACAAAGTGGTTCTAGCATAGCTGTAATCAAAACATTTAACAGAAGGAAACACTTGACAAGTGTTTTAGGGACATATTTCCCATATACAACAAAGTAAAATCCATACAAAGACTTACACAAAGTCAGGCTGAAGAAAGAATAGAACTTGATACAGTAATTTATCATATACTGAACAAAACTGTTCAGCAAAAAAATAAAACATTTTGCTTGTTGCTTTGTTTTTGTATTATACATATGGCTTTCAGTCTTGAGCTGTCAGAGCTGCTGAGTAAATGTAATAACACTGCAGAATCCGTAAGTCACATAAGAAATCACTTCAGCAGGTCAGATTCTTATATCTGTGACCTTTCAGTACTAAGGGGTCAGTCCTTTCTGATGGAATCTCAGTATGCACCAAAGATCCATTTTATAACTCCTGACAAAGCTACAGCCCAGAGATGACTGTTCTGAAATGTGCCTGGAGCATTAGTATGATGAGTTGAGTCTCAGGCAATGTCCATAATTCTGGGTTCTGAGTCATGCTATTTTGCTGTCCTACCTGTTCTGTGAGACCTTTTGTGCAGATTTAACTCTCCCGTCACACAGATGCTTCAGCAGGCTTGGCTTGTTGTTCATGCTGTATTTTTTTGTTGTTATTGTTGAGGTTGCACAGCTCTTCTGAAAACAAACCCTTCCTCTGCTGCTCTTTAAATACATCATTGGAGACTCTCTTGACTTAATACAGAAGTCCTCAAAGTTGCAGCTCCCAAGCGATCTGGGAATCAGCAACTCTCAAAGAACCACAAGATATCTGTATATCTGTCCCCAAAATTTCATAAATGCCTTAAAAATAATTTCATCTCATTAAGACTGTTTGTCCAGCAGTAAGACAACCTCCAGTAAAAGTTCAATAACATTCAAATCATACCAGGAAGCAATCGTAACAGGAAGAACTCACAAAGGATTGCACAGGCACTGTGAGGAAGAAATGTAGCACTTAAAATCCAGAGTTGTACAAGACATCACAGACTGAGTAGACAACAAGGCTGTGACTGATTGAGGTCCTGCCAGGAGGTTGTTAACAAGGTTGTAAAGATTCCCAAGATAAAAACATGTCAGAACTTACATTAGAATTAACATATGATGATCAGCCTTCTGTGCAAATGATGCACACATCTGTAAGTGGAAGCACAGTTTTATTCAACCACAGATTCCTTTTAGAGCTACTTACACTTGTACCTGATTTGAACTGAATCACCTCATTTAAGAAACATTTTCTGAACTAAATAATGGGCATGTCGTCTATTGATCTCTCTCATTACATTTAATTGTGCAACAAATTAAAGATACAAGAGCCCACCAGGAGCCCACTGGTGTGAATGAACAGAAATTAGATGTGTGTTACGTTTGATTGACCAGTAATTGTTGAGAACAGGAGGCTTTTTTGATAGGAGCCAGGCTTAGGAGACAGTCTCATTAGATGTGTCATTAAAGGGAGCCAACCATGGCTATCCCTTCACAAGTCAGTGAAGTAGCACAAGACCTTTTTGGGTGTGCATATCTTCATCAAGGTGTAGCAGGGCACTATCAAGGGACAAAACTCATAGTATTCCAGGGACAATTAAACCTGGAAGAATGAGGGGAAATATAGGAAAAATCAGTTCCACCTTTGCTTGCCACATGCTCAGGAGAAAACAGACCACTAGCCTACCAGGTAGCTCTAGTGGATTTATCCTGGCTGGATTCCAAGCACACACCAAAGCTTCTCTATCACTCCCCTTTGCAAGTGGACAGGGGAGAGAAAATATGATAAAACTTCCTGGGTTGAGATAAGGACAGAGACAGATCACTCACCAATACCATCATGGGCAAACCAGGCATTAACTGGAATATTAACTGAATTTATTATAAACTAATTCAGAGCAGGATAATGAGAAGTAAAATAAATCTTAAAAACACCTTTCTCCTACCCCTCCTCCTTTCCAGACCTACCTCCTCCATTCCGGCAGCACAAGGAAATGGGAAACAGGGATTACAGCCAGCTCATCACAGTTGTTTCTCTAACTGCTCAAGGA